CACAGGTGGAGGCAGCGACGCACCAGCACAGTCAGGCGGAGGCGGCCGCGGAGGCCGAGGCAGCGACGCATCAGCACAGGCAGGCAAAGGCGACCCAGCAGGCAGAGGCGGTGACATATTAGCACAATGATGCGGGGGTGGTCCCATAGGTGGTTGGTTAAGATCACGCTGAGGCGGTCCCGCAGGCGGAGGCAGTGACGCACCAGCACAGTCAGGCGAAGGCGATGATAGCGCAAGCTGAACCAGAGGATCAGTGGCACTGACAGAGGCCTGATGTTCCCCAGCCGCCATCTTCGACAATATGGGGACGGCGAGGCCCCCATGTCGGACAGGCAAAGCCATTAGCCGACGTTGGTGGCTGGCCTGCGCAATTCCATGACCCAGCAAAGCCGGCAGGAAATGGTCACTGAGGATCTCATCCAAGGCCTCCAAAACGCCTGTCGAGAACGGCATTGAGCGCAAGTGGTAAGTCCACCGTGATGACAGGGCCTTGGAGAAGACGGTGTACGCCGCATGAGGTTGAGTCTGGGTGATCTCACACAAGGTGCGCAGGTCACCAGCCCATCTATCCGCCAACTGCCCCATATAAGAGCGGCAGAAATCTTCTGACCCCAGGGCGCCCCCGAGGAATCGGCCGCCAGCGGCGGTAATCTGGATGCCACTGTCGAAGAAGATTTCCCTGGCCCTATCCAGATGCTCTGGCTTTGTGATCAGAACAGTTTTGGATGCGTTCGGGTAGTAACCATAACCAGGGCCAATGGCCCGGAGTTCATCCCAGTAATTCCGAAGGCGAGCCAGAAGACCTGCACCCGAGTCATCATCCGCGAACCAAGATTGGACAACACTGGGGCATGTCGCAGCCAGGCGCCTGACCAGTGGCATGATCGCCACAGCATAGGCTGCCATAGCCAGTGGGTCGCCCTGAGCCGTGCCTTCACGCGATTCGATTTCACCTCCACCAGACACAAACAGGCGGGAAACTGATCCATACGTGTTACGAAACACCGTTGCAAGCGGGGGGCAGAGACGCGGAATGTTGTGTAGCGCAGCCTGCCTATTCAATGCATTAAATGCATTGGAGGCGTCCACAAGCAAGACACCCTCAACCCCCGGGCCAGCGAACAGACGGGACATTGTGTGTACGGCGGCTTCGCAGGCAGATGGAACGCCGACACAGAGTTGGACAGGAGCTGTTACACTCAGCACATCACTTTCCACTACTGACATCACGGCACGACCAATGATACGCCGGTACACTTCGCCCACAGCGATGGGGCGCACGCCAGGTTTCTTATCGAGGGGTATTAGGCGAGCGGATGTAAATCCAATCATCGCGCAACCGGCAAGGCGCTCGGTACATATGCACCTCCCCGCGGCAGCAAGGGATGAACACAAACGCCTTGACGAGGCGTCATCATCATGAGAAAAGCCTCTTTTACGGGCAAAGCAAATGTATATCATTACAATATGTAAAGTGAACAGGGGAAATCAACACAAAACCAACCGGAAAATGATGAAACACAAAAGCAGTCAAGGAAGTAAATCAATACAAAAACAAGCAATGAACACAGAGTAATAAAAGGGGAAAAAACCAAAATAGCATTATATTAAGTTGAGGCCAAAGGCAGCGCCCTACTCCGCCTGGCGGCACTGGGCCAGAAATGAGTTCGGCTGTCGCCTCTTGCCGTACGAACCGCGGCAACCGCGGAAGCAGGTGACTGCCCATCGCAGCAAGCAGAAAGACAAACGGGTGCGTAGTATGCCCATTACTAGTGGGTACTTCAGTTCAGTATGGCGCTCAACAAACAGGGAGGCCAATGATCATCATCATCATCATCATCATCATCATCATCATCATCATTGGAAACGGCCTCTTGTACGGGCTTGAAACGGTGATAACCGAGATAATGTGCAAAAATCGTGATAGATATTCAGGTAAAATATGACATTTAACAGTTGAATGATTAGTACCAAATAGATATTCAAATGCTGATTATTTTACCAGATAGATATTGAATGACAGATGATGTTACTTTACCAAATAGTTATTTAAAAAATGTGATGTTATCCATAGTGATATTGTTGAGAGGCATAGCATAAAAATTCACTATGCGGCCAAACGACACTGGGCCACAAAGGAATTCACCCGCCGTCTGTTATAAGACCCTCGGCAACCACGAAAGCACGTAATGGCCCACCTCAAGAGGCAAAACGACAGGCGGGTACGCAACATACCCATGACAACAGGATATTTGAGATCCTGGCTTCTCTCTACAAAGAGAGAGGCAAGAGACTTTAGGAATTGAGTTGTCTCAGGCCCGCTGAAACCATAAGTCGAGAACACCAGTGGGGTGAACGATCCTCGCTCGACATTCACAACGCGGCTGGCATATTGATTCTTTTTTGCCCGTTCATGGGACTTCAGCTGACTCAAGGCTTTTGATCGAGACAACACGGACGCTGCGGGATGGGTAATCCGCACATCAAAAAAAGCGTCTTGTTGCCACGACCAAAAGCCCCGAGCCCGCACGTCAAGACGAGCCTCAGTACTTCTGTTGAGCGAACGCCCTCCTGGTAGATCCTCACCACCGCACGGCAATAATCTAGGCTCGGTCTCGACGTCAACAACACCTGCCTCTCTCAGGAGACCGGCGACAAGGTCTCTCACCTCGTTGTGCCTGGCGATTGTGTACCCACCAGTAGCGCAAGTGAGGGCGTGTGCGGGATTGACATCCACTCCACACACGCATTTCTCCGGCAGTCCATTCAATCTGTGACCATACCGGATGCATAGAGCGTCCCGGAAATCTGATTTCTTTAAAATTGTTCCATGTTGCCAGCGGGGTATCATCATCATCATCATCATCATCATCATCATCATCATCATCATGTGACCAAGCCGCTTTTACGGGCAACAATATTATGAATATAAAACGCAAGGTATTGTAAGAGCAATTTTCTGAAAATAATGTTAAAACACGAAATATAAAAATGCATTATCACACCGTAGCCACTTTTATGGGCAAATTCCAATACAAGGCAATAAGAAAACGAGGATGAAGTTAACCTTTTAACCCAAAGAAAAGACAAGAGATTTCAACAATCGAACTACAAATATAAAAAACAAACATCAGGTCATAAAAACTACTTTAAAACATAACCAAATGACAGCAAAGCGTGGAGAATGAGATTGACTTACAAAACAAAAGTAGTCCTACTATGCTTACAAAACAGAATCTACCTACACCACTAAGGAAGAAACATTAAATGATTGCAGTCTCACAAACACCGGCCTCTATCTAACGACCCATCAAACAATAACTCCTGAAATTCTTGACTGACTTTTTCTGGTAGGAGCTACGGCAGCCACGAAAACAGGTCACTGCCCAACGGAGTAAAGTGAACATCATCATCATCATCATCATCATGAGAAAAGCCTCTTTTACGGGCAAAGCAAATGTATATCATTACAATATGTAAAGTGAACAGGGGAAATCAACACAAAACCAACCGGAAAATGATGAAACACAAAAGCAGTCAAGGAAGTACATCAATACAAAAACAAGCAATGAACACAGAGTAATAAAAGGGGAAAAACCAAATAGCATTATATTAAGTTGAGGCCAAAGGCAGCACCCTACTCCGCCTGGCGGCACTGGGCCAGAAATGAGTTCGGCTGTCGCCTCTTGCCGTACGAACCGCGGCAACCGCGGAAGCAGGTGACTGCCCATCGCAGCAAGCAGAAAGACAAACGGGTGCGTAGTATGCCCATTACTAGTGGGTACTTCAGCATCATCATCATCATCATCATCATCATCATCATCATCATGTGGCCAAGCCGCTTTTACGGGCAACAATATTATGAATATGAAACGCAAGGTATTGTAAGAGCATCATCATCATCATCATCATCATCATCATGGTTGTGGGAGGCTGTGCAATGTGTTCCTCAAGAGACTGTGCCAGATGCAGGCCGAGTCATCGGGATCTCACTATTCCCAGGTCATTGGTTTACTCCGCTGTCGGCTGTCTTTTGCTTTGCTGCGTGCTGCTGTGTTGTGCATACGTGGGGCTCGGTCACGGTACCACCATCCGGCGAGATGTTTTCATGATGTCTCGATTGCCGTGGCCGAGTCAGGTCTAGTTTGTTAAGTATCGTGCTGTGTCCTGACTGTGCATGCGGGATTGGTATGGCGCTTACCCTTTTGTTGCTGTTTTGTTGCTTTCATGCCTTTGGGCATGTAATTGTGTTCAATTGTTGTATTTCGGGGAAAAACGATCTTTGCGTTGGATTCATTTAAACTATTATTTGTGTAGGGTTCCACTCCTTCATCTTGGGAAATTGTGTTTTGTTTGCTCAAGGAAGTGGCTTCAAAAAAAAAAAAAAAAAAAAAAAAATCATCATCATCATCATCATCATCATCATTATTTGTGTAGGGTTCCACTCCTTCATCTTGGGAAATTGTGTTTTGTTTGCCCAAAGAAGTGGCTTCATCACCATCAAAAAAAAATCATCATCATCATCATCATCATGTGACCAAGCCGCTTTTACGGGCAACAATATTATGAATATAAAACGCAAGGTATTGTAAGAGCAAATTTCTGAAAATAATGTTAAAACACGAAATATTAAAATGCATTATCACACCGTAGCCACTTTTATGGGCAAATTCCAATACAAGGCAATAAGAAAACGAGGATGAAGTTAACCTTTTAACCCAAAGAAAAGACAAAAGATGTCAACAATAGAACTACAAATATAAAAAACAAACATCAGGTCATAAAAACTACTTTAAAACATAACCAAATGACAGCAAAGCGTGGAGAATGAGATTGACTTACAAAACAAAAGTAGTCCTACTATGCTTACAAAACAGAATCTACCTACACCACTGAGGAAGAAACATTAAATGATTGCAGTCTCACAAACACCGGCCTCTATCTAACGACCCATCAAACAATAACTCCTGAAATTCTTGACTGACTTTTTCTGGTAGGAGCTACGGCAGCCACGAAAACAGGTCACTGCCCAACGGAGCAAAGTGAATGAGAGCAGGCACCGCAATCGACCCATAACCAGCGAGTAGGCCAAGTCACTGTGTTTATCGACATACTGGGCTGCAAGACACTTGAGAAAGCGGTCTGCCTCCCGGCCACACATGCCATTAGTGGCGAAAACCAACGGGGTGAACGTGCCTCGGTCTATATTCACAACACGCGCTCCGTATTCCCGCTTTTTCATGCCTTCATGCTTTTGGAGATGGCGCTGGACTTCTGGACGCGACAGCAGGTTTGGCTTTGGGTGAGTCACCCGAACATCAAAAAAAGCCTCCTGCTGCGTGGACCAGAAACCCCGCGCCCTCACATCGAGGCGAGCTTCGGATTTCCTGTTGGCTGTACGATGGGGAAGATCCTCCCCATCAAATGGCGCTAGCACCGGCTCCACCTCCACGTCAGGCAATACCTCCGACAGTACACCCGCCAGCAAATCGCGAACATCATTATGGCGTGCGATGGTGTAGCCGCCAGTAGGACAAGCCATTGCATGCTCAGTGGTTAGAGTTGCTCCACAAACACAAGTCTCAGGGAGGCCATCCAGCTCCAAACCGTATCGGAAGCAGAGAGCATCCCGGAAATCAGATTTATTGAGTATGGTTACTGGCTGATTGTATGACGGTTGGGCGGTCAGCCAGCTGGAGGTGCCTTTCTCACCCGCTGTTTCTAACAGTAGCCGCTGGCACGGAGACAGTCCAGGGCCAATCTCTGCCTGCACACCACGCGAAATCTGGTCCCGCTGTGCTCTCACCTGGCGCAGCCCAGCACGCACCGCAGCAACAGCCTCAGCGACACCACACGGACCACTAGGATTAGTCTCGCCAGGCCCTTCGACGCCTAATCCCACGGCAACAGGCTCCGCACGCAGCGCAGAGAACGATACGGCATCAGGTAGTTGGTCAAGATCAGGCGGAGGCGGAATCTGGTCCCGCTGTGCTCTCACCTGGCGCAGCCCAGCACGCACCGCAGCAACAGCCTCAGCGACACCACACGGACCACTAGGATTAGTCTCGCCAGGCCCTTCGACGCCTAATCCCACGGCAACAGGCTCCGCACGCAGCGCAGAGAACGATACGGCATCAGGTAGTTGGTCAAGATCAGGCGGAGGCGGACCCGCAGGTGGAGGCGACAACGCGCCAGCATAATCAGGCGGAGGCGGTCGCACATGTGGCTGGTCTAGACCAGGCGGAGGCAGCGATGCACGAGCACAGTCAGGCAGAGGCGGTTCCGCAGGCGGAGGCAGTGACACGGCAGCACAGTCAGGCGAAGGCAGTCGCACCGGCGGTTTGTCTAAGCCAGGTAGGGGCCGTCCCACAGGTGGAGGCAGCGACGCACCAGCACAGTCAGGCGGAGGCGGCCGCGGAGGCCGAGGCAGCGACGCATCAGCACAGGCAGGCAAAGGCGACCCAGCAGGCAGAGGCGGTGACATATTAGCACAATGATGCGGGGGTGGTCCCCCGCATCATCATCATCATCATCATCATCATCATCATCATCATCATCAAAAAAAAAAAAAAAAAAAAAAAAAAAAATCATCATCATCATCATCATCATCATCATGAGAGAAGCCTCTTTTACGGGCAAAGCAAATGTATATCATTACAATATGTAAAGTGAACAGGGGAAATCAACACAAAACCAACCGGAAAATGATGAAACACAAAAGCAGTCAAGGAAGTAAATCAATACAAAAACAAGCAATGAACACAGAGTAATAAAAGGGGAAAAAACCAAATAGCATTATATTAAGTTGAGGCCAAAGGCAGCACCCTACTCCGCCTGGCGGCACTGGGCCAGAAATGAGTTCGGCTGTCGCCTCTTGCCGTACGAACCGCGGCAACCGCGGAAGCAGGTGACTGCCCATCGCAGCAAGCAGAAAGACAAACGGGTGCGTAGTATGCCCATTACTAGTGGGTACTTCAGTTCAGTATGGCGCTCAACAAACAGGGAGGCCAATGATTTCAGGAATTGAGTAGTTTCTGGGCCACTAAAGCCGTACGTCGAGAACACAAGTGGCGTGAAGGAGCCGCGCTCCACGTTAACCACACGGCTGGCGTATTGATTTTTCTTGTTTCGCTCGTGAGACTTCAGCTGACTCAGGGCTTGTGATCGAGACAACACAGACGCTGCGGGATGAGTGATCCGCACATCAAAGTAAGCGTCCTGTTGCCACGACCAAAAGCCGCGAGCCCGCACATCCAGACGAGCTTCTGCGCATCGGTTGAGGGAACGACCACCAGGCAAATGCTCACTGCTGCAGGGCAATAGCCGGGGCTCCGTCTCTACGTCCACCACTCCAGCCTCCCTCAGTAGTCCAGCAACCAAGTCCCGCACCTCATTGTGACGGGCAATGGTATAGCCGCCAGTGGCACAGGTAAGGGCATGAGCGGGGCTGAGAGGCACACCACAAACACATGAATCGGGTAGCCCACTCAACCTTCGCCCATAGCGGATGCACAGGGCATCACGGAAGTCGGATTTCTTCAGGATGGTTCCATCTTGCCACCGCGGGGCAACAGTCAACCATGACGATACTCCCTTTTCGGACGCGATTTCAACAAGAAATTGTTGCTCCGAGCTCAAGTCCGCCTTAATGTCTTGTTGCCGGCTGCATAGGCTCCGCATTTTGCTTGTCCGAGTCGAGCGTGCCAGCTGGCGGGTGTCCCCAACAGCATCGCGGACGGGATCATGATTGGAGAGCCTCACTCGGTCGGCAACCTCCTGGGTTGTATCACCGGAGCCCTCTGACATCATCATCATCATCATCATCATCATCATCATCATCATCATCATCATCATCATCATTCCCCCCCGCTGTGTTGTGTGTCAGGGGTGCTCGGTCGGCCCGTCATCGTCCAGTTCACATGCTTCGTGAGTTGGCGATGGTGGAGGGTCGGGTTCCCCTGCAGTGATTGGTGCAGCGCCGAGCTAGTTTGGTGTGAAAGTGTAACTAATGTTATTATTCTTATATATACATCAAGTAGTACTAAATAATTGAGAGGCTTTGAATCGTTTTTATCAAAATCAAAATATTTGCCGGGTTGGAAGGTGGGATCAAAAAAAAAAAAAAAAAAAAAAAAAAATCATCATCATCATCATCATCATCATCATGTGACCAAACCGCTTTTACGGGCAACAATATTATGAATATAAAACGCAAGGTATTGTAAGAGCAATTTTCTGAAAATAATGTTAAAACACGAAATATAAAAATGCATTATCACACCGTAGCCACTTTTATGGGCAAATTCCAATACAAGGCAATAAGAAAACGAGGATGAAGTTAACCTTTTAACCCAAAGAAAAGACAAAAGATGTCAACAATAGAACTACAAATATAAAAAACAAACATCAGGTCATAAAAACTACTTTAAAACATAACCAAATGACAGCAAAGCGTGGAGAATGAGATTGACTTACAAAACAAAAGTAGTCCTACTATGCTTACAAAACAGAATCTACCTACACCACTAAGGAAGAAACATTAAATGATTGCAGTCTCGCAAACACCGGCCTCTATCTAACGACCCATCAAACAATAACTCCTGAAATTCTTGACTGACTTTTTCTGGTAGGAGCTACGGCAGCCACGAAAACAGGTCACTGCCCAACGGAGTAAAGTGAACGAGAGCAGGCACCGCAATCGACCCATAACCAGCGAGTAGGCCAAGTCACTGTGTTTATCGACATACTGGGCTGCAAGACACTTGAGAAAGCGGTCTGCCTCCCGGCCACATATGCCATTCGTGGCGAAAACCAACGGGGTGAACGTGCCTCGGTCTATATTCACAACACGCGCTCCGTATTCCCGCTTTTTCATGCCTTCATGCTTTTGGAGATGGCGCTGGACTTCTGGACGCGACAGCAGGTTTGGCTTTGGGTGAGTCACCCGAACATCAAAAAAAGCCTCCTGCTGCCTGGACCAGAAACCCCGCGCCCTCACATCGAGGCGAGCTTCGGATTTCCTGTTGGCTGTACGATGGGGAAGATCCTCCCCATCAAATGGCGCTAGCACCGGCTCCACCTCCACGTCAGGCAATACCTCCGACAGTACACCCGCCAGCAAATCGCGAACATCATTATGGCGTGCGATGGTGTAGCCGCCAGTAGGACAAGCCATTGCATGCTCAGTGGTTAGAGTTGCTCCACAAACACAAGTCTCAGGGAGGCCATCCAGCTCCAAACCGTATCGGAAGCAGAGAGCATCCCGGAAATCAGATTTATTGAGTATGGTTACTGGCTGATTGTATGACGGTTGGGCGGTCAGCCAGCTGGAGGTGCCTTTCTCACCCGCTGTTTCTAACAGTAGCCGCTGGCACGGAGACAGTCCAGGGCCAATCTCTGCCTGCACACCACGCGAAATCTGGTCCCGCTTTGCTCTCACCCGGCGCAGCCCAGCACGCACCGCAGCAACAGCCTCAGCGACACCACACGGACCACTAGGATTAGTCTCGCCAGGCTCTTCGACGCCTAATCCCACGGCAACAGGCTCCGCACGCAGCGCAGAGAGCGATCCGGCATCAGGTAGTTGGTCAAGATCAGGCGGAGGCGAACCCGCAGGTGGAGGCGACAACGCGCCAGCATAATCAGGCGGAGGCGGTCGAACATGTGGCTGGTCTAGACCAGGCGGAGGCAGCGACGCACGAGCACAGTCAGGCAGAGGCGGTTCCGCAGGCGGAGGCAGTGACACGGCAGCACGGTCAGGCGAAGGCAGTCGCACCGGCGGTTGGTCTAAGCCAGGTAGGGGCCGTCCCACAGGTGGAGGCAGCGACGCACCAGCACAGTCAGGCGGAGGCGGCCGCGGAGGCTGAGGCAGCGACGCATCAGCACAGGCAGGCAAAGGCGACCCAGCAGGCAGAGGCGGTGACATATTAGCACAATGATGCGGGGGTGGTACCATAGGTGGTTGGTTAAGATCACGCAGAGGCGGTCCCGCAGGCGGAGGCAGTGACGCACCAGCACAGTCAGGCGAAGGCGATGATAGCGCAAGCTGAACCAGAGGATCAGTGGCACTGACAGAGGCCTGATGTTCCCCAGCCGCCGTCTTCGACAATATGGGGACGGCGAGGCCCCCATGTCGGACAGGCAAAGCCATTAGCCGACGTTGGTGTCATCATCATCATCATCATCATCATCATCAACATCATCATCATCATCATTTGAACAGCCTCTTGTACGGGCAAGCAAAAACGCAATACATCAAAATTCAAATAGAATGAAAAAAGAGAGGAAAATGAACACAAAGTGCACTGGAACTCAATATAAAAAGGAACGCAAAGTGCAGTTGAACACAATGAGCATGGGGCCACCAATCGGAGAAGACCGGCTCATAATGGAATAAAAGAACAAACATAAAAAACTTAAGACACCCGTACACATCAACGTGGTCTAAGGGTATGGCAGCTTGTTAAAAAGCTGTGGCGCTGGCGCTTGTATGATGCCCGCGAACCACGTATGCAAGTAATACACCAGCGGAGCAAACACAGCGACAATACAGATCGAAGTTGTCCCATGACTACAAAGTAATGTAACTCAGGATTTTTCTCAAAAACAAGCGTGGACAGGAGACTGCACTCTTGAACATTATCCTTTCATGTTGTCATATGTTGCACGTTGATACTATTAGTGTATTGTAGTTACGAATTGTGTACAGAACTGTCACATGCTGCAAGGGCAGTATTGTCAAGACATGCTAGGTCGCTTGCAATATTGGTGCGTTGCGTATTACTGCTATGTATTTCGCGAGTGTAATATTTTATTTGTTAGTCTGTTAGAATTACATCACGAGTGCATGTCTGTTACGTCTACGTCGAGACACATTTTACGATACAGTAATTGCTATGCGTGTTCGTACCACGCCATGTTCACGAGCGGAATATCTTGTGAATTGTTCTAATGTATTATATAAGTAGAATTGTTGACACACTAATTGGTTGCAATGTACATGTACTTACTAGTATTTGATCCGTTGCATTATCGCCATCCGCGGCAACTCCGCTACGATCTACTTGGCGAAACTTACTCTCGCTGACAGGGTGTGCTGTCACCCTGTCGCTGGGTGCAAGCACCCCTTGACAGACACTGTTTTCACCTCCGTAACCAACAATTCTTTATTCTTTCACTCCAGCACATTGCAAGTCATTATTAGTTTCTGCTTGTTCTGCATTTCAAATTATTGCTTTTCTTTTCGTTGCATGCACTCGTACTCGTCCGCGCTGCACGCGGACTTTGGCAGTCGCCATATTTAGTATCTCTATGGCTACGATGATCATGCATTTTCTGTACGCTGCATTTTCTCTCTATGCCACGTCGTTGTGTGCATGCATGCAGCGCAAGCCAAATGCACGCACGCTGCACGTTTTGCCCAGGACAGCGATTTGGCGATCGTTGTTCGGTGTGTTCTTTGGTGTTCTTGTTGGAAACGAGTGGTAATGTCGATTAAAGGAGTTTCTGGGTTTTTGTGGTCTGCCTGACGATGGTTAGTTGCGGGACCAAGTCGCACCGCAACAAAGCGATACCAAATTTTTCAAAAAACGAGACCCCTCTGGCCCACACATGCCTGAAGTTGAAAAAACTAACGGTGTAAATGATGCTCTCTCTCTCTACAATATTTACACGGGCACAATATTCTCTCTTTTTCGCCTGTTCATGGGTCTTCAGCTGACGCAGGACGTCTGGACGCGACAGCAGGCTTGCCTTCGGGTGTGTTACCCGTACATCAAAAAAGGCATCCTGCTGCCGGGTCCAGGAGCCCCGCGCCCTGATATCCAGACGCGCCTCCAAAGACCGGTTCGCAGTTCAATGTGGTAGTGTTTCTCCTTCGAACGGCTTGAGGATCATCATCATCATCATCATCATGATCATCATCATCATCATCATCATCTGCTTTCCTGCTTCCGGCGTTGGTGCTCCAGCGAGTAGGTCGGAATTGCCCTGCCGCAGAGTGCTCTGACCACACTCGTCGCAGACTAAATTTATGGATCCAGGGTTCCTATATGGAGCTAGTGCAGGAGGGTCGAACTATTCAGCATATGCTCAAGACATCGCAGAATCGGAGATCCAGGCGTGGCGAAGACCCTGCTCATGAGTTTGGCCACTTGATGGAACAGGGCCGAGTTCACTGCGCACTGAGAATGCTGGATAATGCAACCAAGCCCAAGTGTGATAAACCGGTCTTGGGCATGGACGACATCATTTCTGATTCTCATCAATCCCAGTCAGTCCGTGAAATTCTCGTCGGGAAGCATCCGGGGTCGGCACCGGCAGCACCGGACATCCTGCTTCAGGAGGAGGCGGGCAATGTCAGCAGTATCTACTTCGCCAGCGTCAATGGTGAGTTGATCAAACGCACTGCCCTTTCTCTGCATGGTTCTGCGGGTCCTTCCGGCCTGGACGCGGATGCTTGGCGGCGGCTATGCACATGTTACAAAGGTGCATCTACTGATCTGCGTGAGGCAGTGGCGTGCTTCACACGCTTGATCTGTACCGACTCAGTCCCCTCCGGCTCACTCACACCGTACACAGCTTGCAGACTCATTGCCCTCAACAAGAACCCTGGCGTTCGGCCAATAGGGGTATGTGAAGTGTTTCGTAGACTGTGCTCCAAGGCGGCATTGTTTCTGATGAAACCCGACATTATGCAAGCCTGCGGACCAGTTCAGGCCTGCACGGGCATCCCGGCTGGGGTGGAGGCTATGGTGCACTCAATGACGGCTGCCTTTGCTTCGGAAAAGGCTGAGGCAGTGTTGCTAGTCGATGCTCGCAATGCCTTCAATAGCTTGAATCGCCGCGCTGCATTGCACAATATTGCTCGAGTATGCCCCCCGCTAGCACAAATAACATTGAATACTTACCAAGACCCTGCATCCCTCTTTGTGCGTGGTGGCCAGTCTTTATTGTCACAGGAGGGCACAACCCAGGGTGACCCTCTTGCGATGGCCATTTATGCCACGGCTCTCACCCCTCTCGTCAAGTCAGTCGGAACCAATGTTGCAGATGTGTGCCAGGGATGGTTTGCAGATGACTCGGCAGCTGCCGGAGGGCTCTCCCCATTGCGAAAGTGGTACAACCTCCTTAAGGAAGAGGGCCAAAAATACGGCTACAACATCAACGAAACAAAAACGCAACTACTCGTCAAGCCTGGCTTTGAGTCCTTGGCTGCCGAGACTTTTGGTGACACAACTATCCACGTCAAGTCTCGTGGCGTACAGTATCTGGGCGCTGCTATCGGGACTGAGGCATTCCTCGGAGAATTCAAAGAGACAAAAGTAGAAGAGTGGGTGAAACATACAGAGATTTTGGCAAATTATGCCGCATCAGAGCCGCATGCAGCATACTCTGCGTTGACCCATGGCTTAGTCAACAGATGGAACTATGTGTTTCGAACTATGGCTGTTTCTGCGGAGGACTTGGCGCCGTTGGAGCGGGAGCTTCACTCCTCACTTCTACCGGAGCTCGTGGGACAACCGAGCGTGCCTCTGAAAGACATTGATATTCTAAAGCTCCCGACACGGGATGGTGGGATAGCCCTTCCGGACCTCACGACTCGACCACGGTTTGAGCACCAGGGCTCCAAGCAAGTGTCCGGACCTATGGTGAAGGAGGTTCTGGGCGATTTCGCTAAGGATAGCGATCCAATTTCTCTCGCTGGAGATGTGCCGGCTTCTGCAGATACTGCTGACCGTGGTGGAGCGTCTCCCACTCCCACGATGACGGCAACGGAGGTGCAGCCGCGGGAGGTCGCTGGCAACTCAAACCCTGGACCGGATGTGGCTGCTGATGTTGCTGGTGCTGGTACCCCCTTTCAGAGGATGATCGATGAAATGCGTCACAAAAAGCGTGTCGTCCACACCGAAAACCGGGAGCGCGCAAAGGCAGCCAGGAACAAAATAGTGGACACGAGCGATGAGATGACGAAGCGACGAATAGAAGAACACACGGAGAAAGGATCATCCTCATGGCTGAGCGTGCTGCCCCTGGCGGAGCATGGCTTTCGTCTCACCAAGCGTGACTTCCGGGATGCTCTGGCATTGAGATATGCATGGCCGCTAGCCAATACACCAGCAACCTGTGTGTGTGGTGAGCTGTTCTCAGTTGAGCATCAGCTATGTTGCGCCAGGGGCGGCTTCCCGACACTTCGTCATAACGAGATACGTGACCTGCTGGCGAGGGAATTGACTGAAGTCTGCACTGCCGTTTCGACAGAACCAGCGCTGCAACCTCTTTCTGGTGAGAGGTTTCCTCTTCGGTCAACGAACCGCCGAGAGGATGCGCGCCTGGACATAGCCGCTCGAGGGTTTTGGACCCGTGGGGAGGAAGCTTTTTTTGATGTAAGGGTATTTTGCCCAGATGCTCCTTCCTACGGGTCCAGAACCCTTCCTGCATTGTACCAGCAGCACGAGCGGCGTAAGTGGAACGAATATGGGCCAAGAGTCACAAATGTAGAAAGAGCCGCTTTCACACCTCTCGTGTTCTCTGTGCATGGTGGTTGTGGGAGGCTGTGCAATGTGTTCCTCAAGAGACTGTGCCAGATGCAGGCCGAGTCATCGGGATCTCACTATTCCCAGGTCATTGGTTTACTCCGCTGTCGGCTGTCTTTTGCTTTGCTGCGTGCTGCTGTGTTGTGCATACGTGGGGCTCGGTCACGGTACCACCATCCGGCGAGATGTTTTCATGATGTCTCGATTGCCGTGGCCGAGTCAGGTCTAGTTTGTTAAGTATCGTGCTGTGTCCTGACTGTGCATGCGGGATTGGTATGGCGCTTACCCTTTTGTTGCTGTTTTGTTGCTTTCATGCCTTTAAGCATGTAATTGTGTTCAATTGTTGTATTTCATGGAAAAACGATCTTTGCGTTGGATTCATTTAAACTATTATTTGTGTGGGGTTCCACTCCTTCATCTTGGGAAATTGTGTTTTGTTTGCCCAAAGAAGTGGCTTCATCATCATCAAAAAAAAAAAAAAAAAAAAAAAAAAAAAATCATCATCATCATCATCATCAACAAGGTGTGCGGGTACTAGTATTGCATTATGAATTGGTTGAGTAGATAGTTCCGGAATTAATTCCGTGTTCGATATTGTTTATTTATTACATATTTT